AGAGAGGAAACAGTTAATAAATTATCAGCCGGATTTGTGAGGATAATTCAGCGAAGGTCTCATGAACAATATACATACACATCATGCTGGGAGTGTTCGGCGGGGAGGAATTTTTGTACTGTTCATGCTGGAAATACTGTTTATACTGAAATTTGTGAGAGAAAACACTGTTCCGGCGGGGAAAAACAAGCCGAACTTGCTCTGCATTGTTATTCTAGTTCTACAGTTGTAGTAACTAGAGACACTGGTTTCAATCATCGAGCTAGCACTGTTATTCTAGTTCTACAGTTGTAGTAACTAGGGACAGCATATGAAGAGCCCAAGGATAAAAAACATGGTAATAAATCCTGCCGCGAACCCTACTGCCCCCGCCACCATCTGCATTTGCGCGATAGTCAGCGCACGGCGGCGGCGCCTGGACAGGGTAGCGGCGGGCTCGGTCCCCGGAGCCGGCGCCGGCGCCGGCGCCTGCGTCGGAGCGCCGCTGATGTTGTTGAGGGGATCCACGGCGCGCACGACTATCCGATGGCCCGCCTCGCAGCGCGCCGGCGCGCCGCTGATGAAGTAGTAGAGGCCGGGGCGGGCGAGCGTGAACTGGGTGTCGCCGCCGTCCGCGAACCGGCGCACCGGGCTCGCCGCGCTGCACCGCTCGTAGTCGCCCTGGAGCACCAGGAGGACCGAGTCGTACGAGCCCTCGAAATCAGGACGCGGGCCGGGCCGCACGTACGTTCGTCAAAAGTGGCACACAGGCAAGAACCAGCAGGATTGAGATTAATCTATCCTAGTCGTCGTCGCTTGCTCGGAGTGTTAGAGCTTACCCAGAACGTCGCCGACGTTGAAGCGCTGCATAGTGTCATCGCCGACGCTGAAGCGCTGCATCATGGCCCACTTGCGGAGCGTCTGGGTGCCGTCGTCGTCGTTGCCCGCCCGCCCCGTCTTGTCGCTGTCGCCGACGCTGTACACCTCCGGTGGCCGTGACGACGACGACGCGGAGGCGGCGAGGAGGAGGACGCCGCATGAGGCTGCGAAGAGAACGGCGAATCGGAGGCGGGCCATATTGACTTGCGCAGATCGAGCCCGCACGATCTCTGCTGGACGCGGCAGACGGCAGACGTACTGGGGTTTTGCTCGGAGAGAATTCCTTATTTCACGCCAGACAAATGACTCGTTTTTTTTTTTTGCCCTTAAAAAAATTTTATTCCCTATTTAACACCGAGTTCAACTTTCGTTCCTTATACGACACTCCGTCGGGTTTGCCATCCGTGAACCGTTAACTGACATGTGGGCCCCACCACCCTTCTCCCCTTAACTGATATGTGGACACCAGACAAAACGACGGCGGCGCTTGGACGGGGTGCATCCGCGCGTGGAGGTGGCGGCGCGCGGCGCGCTCGCTGCCGTGCGCGCCCCATCCCATGGCGAGGAGCTATCGTGGCAACAAAGGCGGCGGCGGCGGCTCTGTGGCCGCACGACGGCGCCACCACGCCGAAGCTTCCGACTCTCCGAGTGCTCCAAATATGACGGGCTCTCGCCTCGAAGCGCCGCCGCCGCCGCCGCGAAGTCAAGCCAGCGCCAGAGAAGAAGGCGCCAAGGAGGCCGGCGTCCCTCGGTGCGCGCGGCTCGCGGGTTCCTCAACGCCATCTTCAACGGCAGGCTCGAGCCGCCAACGCCGCCGTCGTCGTCACGGGGCGGAGTCCGCGTGCTCCACGGCGTCCTCCTACTACCGGCTTTCAGTCGTCCAGAACCGGAGCAGCAGGAGGCGAAGTTGGGCATCGCTGTTGTCACGGTGGGGACGTGGATCGACTTCTTGCGCGACGGCCGCGAAAGCGTCGTCGTCGTCATCATCACGGAGGGATGCGCCACCGTTGCGACGCGCCCGCCGCCGTGGGGATGCGCCCGGTGAAGCGCCGCTGCTCGCATCCTTGGTCTCGTCTCGCGGACGCGCACCACCATTGCGGATGCGCGCCGCTGCGCTCGAAGCTCGCCCTACCGCTGCCGCCGACGCTTATGGGGACGCAGCGCTTCCCGCCGAGCGCCGCCGCCGCCGGGACGGACGCTACTTCGCCCCGCTGAAGCGCCTTCGCTGCGCCGCCACCTCCACGCGCGGATGCGCCCCGTCCAAGCGTCGCCATCGTTTTGTCTGATGTCCACATGTCAGTTAAGGGGAGAAGGGTGGTGGGGCCCACATGTCAGTTAACGGTTCATGGATGGTAAACCCGACGGAGTGTCGTATAAGGAACGAAAGTTGAACTCGGTGTCAAATAGGGAACGGAATTTTTTTGAGGGCCAAGAAAGGAACGGGTCATTTGTCTGGTGTCAAATAAGGAATTCTCTTTTGCTGGAGGCGTCCCTTCCCTCGCTTCTGCAGGTGAGGTGACGGGTACTGAACACAGAGTTCGGCTGTGTTTAGTTCCAAAAAGATTCCCAAAAAGTGTTACAGTAATCATCACATCGAATTTTACGATACGTATATGGAGCATTAAATGTAGACGGAAAAAAAACTAATTGCACAGTTTGGTTAGAAAATCGCGAGACGAACGTTTTGAGCCTAATTAGTCCATAATTAAACACTAATTACTAAATAAAAACGAAAGTGCTACCGTAACCAAATTTTTAAATTTCACAAACTAAACACAGCCTTCATGTCGAGTAGTAGGCGATAGGCTGGTGTACTCCGCACGTGCAGGAGACCAGGAAGCATCCCAAGGCTGGTGTACTCCGCACGTGCAGGAGACCAGGAAGCATCCCAATGCGCGTGCACCCACCACCCTATACTACGTGAGAGTATCTTGTGCGCCTGAGCTTTTGCGCTGCTCCTGCTCATGCGAAATTTGCAGCAGTAACATCTTTAATTTTCAGATCGACTGCAGCAGTAGTTCGGTGCTCGGTAATGGGCAGTGAATTCGAGCTAGCACCTCTTTAACAATAAAGTACACTCAACCCTGTCTCTACAGCAGTGTTTTTGGCACTGAGGTGTGCATCTCCGTGACTCCATCTCCACTTGCTGGGACATGCACTGCTTTGTAAAAGAGCTGAAATTGGAAGGGCAGAGGCACGAGACCTTGGGCCCTCTGCTCCGTTGTTATCACCTGCTGGGATATGCACTGCTTTGTAGCGACGCGGAGACCATTAGTCGTGTATATACATCGTTTTCTAGTGCACGGTACATGCTATAAAGAAAGTGCAATATACATATGTTTTCACTCTCTCTTTTCTTCCTCAACCAAGCAATTGGTTGAACACCTCTCTTTTGGGAACCCAAGTGAGTCACCACTGCACCTTGCATTGCCCACCCCTAGCAAGCTACATATATACACTTATTTTGTCCCTAAAAAAATGTAATCTTTGGTTTGGGACAAGTCAAACCCTTTCAAGTTTGATCAAATTTATAAAAAATAGTAATATTTATGTCTCTAAATAGGTTTGTGTTGAGGCAAAGCTACTTCATGACATGTAGAGCTTGTTCGGCTGGGATGAAATTCGGCACTGTTCATGCTGGAATTCTGTGAGAGGAAAACACTGCTGCGGCTGGAAGAAAAAAGGCATCCAGCCAGCCAAAAGTGACCAGCCGAACACGCTCGTAGTCGTCGATGCATGGAAGGCCAATTTAGACTATATTGCCCCAGGTGACTAAGTGGTTGATGTCTAAACTTAGGAGTTTTCTTGGAATATGTAATATCCCTCTATAAATAAAAGGGAAGGTTTCCCAAGATAACTAAGTGAAGAAAATCTTGTTGAAATCATCTTCTCCGTCCTCTACCTTTGAATCATCCTTTCGGGGGGTTTTTTGTTTTTGGTGAATTTTTTCACCTTTTCTGGTTATTTTTTGGAGCAGCAGCTGATCTGTATTTTTCGATGTTTTTAGGGTGTTTTTTGGATACTTTGGACAAGGATGCATTATGGAATCAAACCCAGGCCAGGACCAAACCCCAAATGATCAGCTTTCAAAATACCTCATTTTCTTCTCAGATATCCTTGTTTCAGTGATTTCCTTGAGCTCGGTGTTTTTGGTTCGTTAATTCTTAAGCTCAGTCTTGGTGCCAGGACCTTATGGGAATATATCTATGCCCTCCAACAGATTTCCCGCCAGCATCTTATTCTCTTGAAATTGAGTTTTATTGAGAAACCCCCAATTTGAGAGACATTATTTTAACATTCTTGGTCAAGCTTAGACCTTTTTGAAGATCTCTTGAGAATACCTTCACCATGAATTAGATGAAGTATGTGTAGAATTAAAATTTCATGATTTTTTAAGGTCGTTTGATCGATATTTGTATTATTTTCCTTCATGTGTTTCAAAGGTTATTTTTTGTTCCTCAGTGAGTAACCTACTACGGACTTGAGCAAACTTCTGGACAGCTATGGATTTCTAAACGACTCCTAACCAACCCATGTAGTATCGATTCCTTTGGACACCCGGTCCCTTGGCCCTAGCAGCTAGGGAATGAACTCAGGTGTATGACATGACTTCTCTCGGCAACGTAACACGGGTACTCGATCGTCTACGCTTTTTTTTTTCTTTCTTTCAAAATTGTGCTATCACCATATAGAAATATAGCTTTTTTAATACAAAAAAATGGTACGGTGTAGTTCTGTGTTCATACTCATTTGTTGAGGGAGGAAACAGTTAAGTATTAAATGTAGATGAAAAAAAAAACTAATTGCACAGTTGGATGAGAAATCGCGAGACGAAACTTTCGAACCTAATTAGTCCATAATTAGACACTAATTGCCAAATACAAACGAAAATGCTACAGTAGCCAAAACCAAAAAAATTTCGCCAACTAAACGCGCCCTTGCTAAAACAGATGAATTCCAGAGGATAATTCAGCAAAGGCCTTATGAACATAGCTATATATACCAATAATAAAGCACAGAAGACGGAGTGCCGAACCATGATAGATCTCAACGTAGAGTACTATAGTGCCGCGCGCCATTTCTACAGGAAAAAATCCAAGCTCTACCTATCTAGCGCGGCGGCGGCGCAAGTTCATACACAGTCACATGATTACCCCTGCGAAGAAACACCCGGCAAGAAACCCTAGCAGCGCCGGCGGGAGCAGCTTGAACCAGACAGGTATCGGGCGGTCGTCGGACGGCGTGTCGGAGTCGGAGGGCTCCATCACCACCAGCCCCGGCGTCGGCGCTGGAGCAGGGGTCGGGGCGCCGCCCCCGCCGAGAGACGAGCGCGCGTCCACGACGCGCAGGACCATCCGCTGCCCCGCATCGCAGCGCGCCGGCGCGCCGCTGATGAAGTAGAAGAGCCCCGGGTGGGCGAGCGTGAGCCGGGTGTCACCGCCGCCGTCCGCGAACCGGCGCGCCGGGCTCGCCGCGCTGCACCGTTCGTAGTCGCCCTGGCGCACCAGCAGGACCGAGTCGTTCGAGCGCTTGAAATCTGGACGCGGGCGGCGGGCCGTACGTATACGTGCGTCAGAAATTCAGAATGAAGTTTCACACAGACAAGAACCAGAGCTCGCCGTTGCTTGCTTGGAGCACCGGAGCTTACCCAGGACGTCGCCGACGTAGAAGCGGTCCTCATGGCCCACATGATGAGCGTCAGGTGGGTGCCGTCGTTGCTCGCCGGTGCGGCCCGCCACTCGTCGCCGGCGCCGTACACTGCTGGTGGCCGTGACGACGACGCCGACGCGGAGGCGGCGAGGAGGAGGACGCCGAAGGAAGAGGCTGTGAAGAGGACGGCGAAGCGGAGGCCGGCCATGACGTGTGTGCGTAGTCGCGTAGATCGGACGCGCACGATCTCGCCGTCGCAGCGCAGACTGGGGTTTTGCTGCTGGCTGAGGCGCCCTGGTGTGTCGATCGGCTGCCGCTGCACTGCACAGAGTACAGAGAGGGGTTTTCCAGTACTTTTCCGTCTCTCTGTCCGGATGATCTGTGCAGGGAAGGCCGGTCGGTGTAGCGTGTACTCCTACGTCCCTAGCTGCGCACAGCGTTCGTGGACAGGACAGCATCCGAGTGCGCGTCCACCCTCCACCTTACACGTGACTTGCCCTTGAGACTTGAGAGCACTAGCTAGTCAGTCGACCTCCTCCTCCTTTCGAACAGGGCTTGTTTAGATCATCTCTAAATTTTAAGTTTTTTCACTCTCTCTTCGTCACATTAAATTTTAGACACATGCATAGAGCATTAAATGTAGGTAAAAAAAATAACTAATTGCATAGTTTAGTTGTAAATCACGAGACAAATCTTTTGAGTCTAGTTAGTCCATGATCGGACAAAATTTGTCAAATACAAACGAAATATACTACAGTGTCCAGATTACAAAAATTTACGATCTAAACAAGCCCTGCTTTGCGCTTTCTCGTGCAATTTGCACCAGTAACATTTTCAGATCGACTGCAGTAGTTGCAGAATTGCATTGCAGTTGCAGCACTGTCTGGTCGCCGCTCGGTCATGGTCAGTGAATTCGAGCTAGCAGCCTAGCACCTCTTTCCTGGAGTAGTGTATACGTGTGACTGATCATGGAGTAGTATGCGTGTGACACACCGGACACGATGTTAACACTAAGGCGGCGACCCGCCGGCTGGTCCGGCTACTTCTCCTCACATTGCTACAGTACATCTTTTGATCGTTACAGTATTTTTCTCTCACACAACCAGCCGCTACAGTGTTTTTGGTTATTTTTTCAGACAAACGAACAAGGCCTTAGGAGTATAGTTCGTCCATCTGTCGTACACCCACAACTAACCCACATATATTGGTATTATATTATATATAAGCGGTGTTATTAGGGCTCAAGACTGCAACTTGATTAATTTTGATAATCGCCACATTTTGATGTAATAAGTGGGAAATTGTATGTAAAATGTCCGTGACCAAGGACATTATTTTTTCTTTTTTTTCTTTTGTTTTGCCTATGGTCGCTGTCGTGCTACTGCTACGGTGCTACCTCTTGTTCCAATCATGTCGCAGCTAGCGCAGTGCCATACTGCATTGTGGCGACACTACCACGGCACGGAGGAAGGTTCATAGTGTTGCAAGTACTTTTCTGCCAGGTAAAACGGCGAAATGCAATTCTCTGTCACCCGTACATTGATCATGGCCGGCCGCTATCCTAGCGTCATTTGTTACAGTTTACACACTTCGGACAATATCACTAGGGCCCTCTTTGGCATGAATTTCCGTGGATTCAGCTCCATCTAACACATTCACTGTTCACTAGAGCCAGTTTTCTCTCTCTTCCTTGCCGGCAGTAGCAGGTGAACTCCGTGAGAGGGAGTTTACTAGAGCCAATTTTCTCTCTCTTCCTTGCCGGCAGGAGCAGGTGAACTCCATGAGAGGGAGAGGGAAGAGAAAGAAAACTTGCTCTAGTAAACAGTGAATGTGTTTGGTGGAGCTGGATCACTCAAATCCGTACAGAGGCCCTAGTAGTGCGCATTGTGACTATGTAGAAGGAACAGCGCTCGCAATTCAATTCAGTAGCAAGAAGCGATTGATTCCTTTGGCCAGTAACAGCAACTAGCAGAAGCATGGCATGCAGTACTAGAGACGCAAGAAGTTGTGTAATTGGCTAAAGGCATTTTTTTTTAGCTCCGGCTCTAGCTAAATCAATTTCAGTCGTGACTTTATCTGTGGAGCAGATTTACTCGAGGAGCTGAAACACTTTTTTGAACCGTTTGGTAAAACAACTTCAACTCATAGTTGAAAATAGTGAAATACCCATATTACCCTTTTATTTTGATTGTTTTACTCTATCTTTCTTTAATTTTTTCAATCTTAATCCTTTTATCAATCGGCCTTTTTTTTTCTTTTTCCTTCCCTTTCCTCTCTTTTTCTTTTCTTTTCTTTTTCCTACATTATCCGTTGCTCAAGGTCCAACCAACCACATGTGAGTACACGACCCTCCGTCTCGTCTCCTACCTCCGGATGTCGCCCGCCCACCCCGCCGCCGCACTCAAGTATGCGACCTCACGTCTCCTCTTCTACCTCCGCGACCTCGCACCTGGGGCCACGCCCGGCCATGGGCTGGCGACGGCGCCGCGCCCCTCCGTCTCGCCAGCTCCCTCCCCCGCGCCCCCCTCTGTCTCGCACCTCAGCGCCGCCATCGACTCACGTCGCGTTGCTGGCCTTTGTAACACCTCTGGTGTTTTAAACACTAAAATATGCCATGTCATCATATGTATTGCATATCATTCTTGTGTTAGTGAAAACTTTGATATGCATTCACTAAAACAAGTTTACTTTTATGATTATATGTGTTGAATTGTATGGGTTGAATCAAGTTCATAACTTTAGTATGAAATTAGAATTCTAAAACCCTAATTTCCAGCATTTAATACTACCGTGGAAAACCTAATTCAAAATCTAAGCACATTTTGGGGTTGAGCCTAAAAGGAAAAGTGTAGAGCTTGTCAATGTGTGCAAAGTTGGTTTTTAGAGTTTTTAAAGTTTTTATATAAAATTTGAAGTAATTTGAAAGGGAATAAATTCTTTAAGTGTCCCCTTTTGATTTTAAACTTGCATTTTTAAATGTAGACTGAATTAGAGTATGGTTATTAAAGCAAAGTTGTATAACTTTGAATTCGGAGCAACTTTTATTTTAGGAGATTTTTGAGTTACCATACAAATTTGAAAGTAATTTGAAAAATAAAGCGAGTGGCAATTCGGTAAATAGTTGGAACAGTGCAAGCAGGCAGACTCTCACCGCCGGCCAGCTTCCACGCGCGTCCGTGAGCGCCACCTCCTGCTTCGACGTGACCGCGTTGCCGTAACGTGTCGAGCGTATCTCTTCCGCCGCTCTCCGCTCGCCTGATAAGCTCCCTCCCGTCGCCCTCTCCTTCCTCTGTTTTCCCATCATCGCCGCCTAGCTCCGACAAGCTCGCGTCGTAGCCGTAGACCTCTCCCTGCCTCAATTGAGCATGTCACCGCTCCGCCTACTCCTTGCGAACCTAGCCGAACCGTAGTTGTCGCTTGGTTTCGTCGGAGGCCGCCGCGCATCGCCTTTCTTCCTCACGGCCGGCCGCATCGTCGTCGAGCTCGCTTCACCGTGGCCAGCAAATTCTGGTAATTCTCCCTCCTTACCCGATGTTGTTTGAGACTACTTGCCGTGCCGTAGTGCTCAGAAGCTTAACCATTGAAGCTCTAGTGACCTGCAGACGCTGGAACGCCGCCGTCGACGCCAGCTTGTGTCGCCGTATCTGCCTTGATCGCCGACAAGCTTCACTGTTGCTCCTCTGGTTCAACCATCAGCTCGAGCGAGTTTGGGGTGAGCTACTGAGTCTTCCCAAGCCTTTAGTTTAACCGCTAACGGCCTTACTTCGCCGGCGTAACACAGCCGCGCTGCCGTGGCCGCCATGGCCGGCGTCGCGCTCGGTTTGAGCCGTTACTGGTTCAATTAATACCACCAATAGGTGCGCCTTGCCGTGGAGATCACGCTGGTACCTCGGTCGTGGCCGGAGACCTCGCCGACGGCGAGAAATCGCCGGTCAGAGGGCCTCGCCGTCGTGGTCAGCGCGGGCTAACCGATGGGGTCACCCTGTCAGTGGCCGTTTAAATCAAAATGAATTTCTCTATTTTGCAGAAATGGTTAAATAGTGTTGTGATTTGTTTATTTTGTGTAGAAATAAATAGAGTTCCAAAAATTATGAAAATTTTTGTGTGACCTCTCTGAGATGTGAACTATTTAGGAAAAATATTAAATGTTACTTTTCAGTACTTTTTGAATGTGATAAAAATTGCTCAAATTAATTAATAAATGGGATTCCATGATTTTTCTAGGCTTAAATAATTATCCAAAAATTATGAAAATTGTTTTTACATTTAGTTATCATGTGATGAGCCTTCACAAAAATTTAGAGCTCATTTGGAAAAAGTTGATTTATTTCATAATTTTGAATTAATTAATTATTTAATAAAAACAAATAGTAAACCTTAATGACTTAGGTTTGTTTGAATTTGGGATTGAGTGATGACCTCGGGTCATTAGCATAAAATGATCCTTGGCACTTTAAGTAAGTGTTTGAGTGTATGATCATGCTGTGATTAAGAAATGTTAATTAGGATAACCCCGCTAGGTCATTAGTGTTAATATAAGTAAACCCTAGAGGAGGTTTAGTTAGTTGTTAGTTTGTAACTATACAGTGAAGGAAAGTTGTATTCAAGTTATTAACTTTTGCATCCATTGTCAAGCATCATGTTTTATATCTCGCATCATATTAAACATGGCATTGTTACTACATGTAGTGAACGAAAGTGAGAACTTGGTAGTCAACCAAGTTGTTGAGGAAGTCAACCCACCTGTTGAGGTCGGGTTTGATATCTGTGGAACAGCTCTGGAACCTGACTATTCCGACAATCAAGGCAAACCTCGGATGCATTTAAACCTACCTTATGTTTTACAAATTTATATCGCTTTTGTTTTTAAATACTGCATTTAGTGATTAGGAGTTGAGTGAAAACCTAATTGGTGTATTACCAACCTTGTTTTTTCATATCAACCTTGTTACCAGTTTTAATTCGAGAATGCCTAATTATGCTTAGCCATGCTTAGACCGATAAAAGTCGGGTGATTACCTGTCACCTACAAGATATAAATGGATTTTTAGATACGACTGGTTATTTATGTTATCATAAGATATAATCATGTGGAGTAATAAATCTAGACCGGACGGACTCGGTGTATGAGAGCCACAAGACATGGATGTCTTGTGAGCTGGTTCTTTCCGCCTGTGTCGATTAAGAACCGTCCGTTGTTGAATTGCA